TACAGGTAGACCCAAAGAGGAGAACATACGTTTCCGAAGGAAGATATCAATGATGATATCTCAGCACTTACCTGTATATAGTAACTAACCATAATTTTTTTCTTTTTTTTTAAAGGGGGAAGGTGTTATGAACGGGGAATTAAGAAGCCCAGACAATTACGAAAGCTATTTTCTTGGGACGTTATTGCATTTCATTCAAAACCTGTAAAACACTTATATTTATTTTTGTCCCTATCTTATTCTACATAACACGAGCTTTCGTTCTATGTATCATTCACTAGCATACCCTTTTTTGTTCCAAAAATATTGTAATTTAAACATTATATTTTGCACTATATTTTCTACCCTAATTCCCTGTTTCGGGCATAACTGTATTTTTCCAAATTATCCTACGTCGTGGTCAAGATATGCACTTATTTATTCATGTACATTTTTGTAGTAATCCGAATTCAGAGAATCCAGAGTTTAGTGTTCCAACTGTCTTGTCTTCTTTCACTTGCGTGCTTGCCAACCAATCAGGATTTAGAATAGTTCTCTCTACCCCATCTCGAACTCACGCATATTAGACTCAAGGTTAAGCCACTCAGCCTAACGCGTCAAGGTCATAATTTAGACTACACCGACCAAGGTCAAGTCATAACAAGTATCACGGGGTAAAAGCGATTCAAGGTCACAACAATTACCTTCAAGTTAATGTCTTAAAATGACCGCTCCGATCTTCAATTCCAGTCATTCTTGACCATCAATTGCTTATCACAGTGCAACACCCACAAAGCGTGCCAACTCTCATATTGGACATTAGATTCATGCTAGCATTAGTAGTCTAATGAATGAAAAATTATCTCCTGCTTAAATTGCCCATCTGAGCTACAACTTGTCAGTATAATTCGGTATCTGATTGGATTAAAGCCTGAAGCATTTGTAATAAATTGATCTTACTTGTAAACTGGTACGCTTCATGTAACATATTGTTATCTGATAGTATAATTATAAAATATTTCTGCGAAGGCAGGTAAACGCTATTGTGACGAGCATGATCTACGAATTACAGCATTAGTTTACTTACAGTATGCTTCCCGAGTGGGGTCACCAAATAGATGAAATCAATAAATGTTTGCAACCGATTGACCACTGGGTGGTGACCAGTGTCACTCACGTCAGGTCCCTCGTAGTGTAGATCGGATCCTATCGACCAAGTTGCCATGTGGCAACTAGTCTAAGTGACTCGACATTACGTGCACTACGTTGAGGTAAGATATTGGTTGGAGGCAATCACAGGAAACCCGAGACTTAGGTTCCGTGCTACTTGCCACTCGTTGGCAAGGTGTACCTGTAATCTTGAGGCGACTAATGCTCCCTAACGGGCTCCATCGCGTGCCACATCTCAGTCCTATTGGAGGTCAATCGCGGCCCGGATAGCTCAGTGGTAGCAATGGCAATGGCTTCAGCAAACTTCAGAAGACTGGAGTTTGGCTGCTTACTAATCAGGCGTCAAAAACCTGACCTATGTATTCAAAAGGAGACGGTGGTTAATCTTTCCTTGCCCTGGTGACAAATATTCCTTCACTGCACCACAAAATTTTATTTTTTTCTTTTTTCTTTTGCATTTATTACATCATTGACTCTATTTTATTTTTTCAACTATCTTTCAGATTAGTAATCTTTCAACTGAACTCTACTCACTACATTCCTTCAATGTTATTCATTATGTAATCGATTGTTTCTAACCCACTTTTGAACTGTTGTCACAATTAGTGTTGTAGAATATTCTTTCACATTAGGTATATGTTTACAATATTCAGTTAGCAATTTAAACCCATTGTGTAATTATGATTTTTAAACATCACAGGTTGTAAGCAGCTGACGAGAACCTACGAAATAAAATGAATTCATGCTATTCTGCTAGAATCTTCGCTCTTGCTCTTTTCAAAATGATAAAGGGAACTATGTGTATGAAATATCTTTTATTATCTGAGTTATTTGAGTTTTTAGGTCTGATGCCAGCTACAAGGTCCTAATGCAAAAGTCCGAGTTAGTATGTCATAGGTTGTCTTAGTAGGATAGCTAATCTAGCATGAAATCGGAAACATGAGTCTGAACAATGGGCATAGAACAACCTCAGTATCTCTGATTGACTGCCTCGTTCTCAGCCATAAAGAGATCTTATAGATTAGGCAGTTACATAATGGCAAATCTACAGTTTAAGGATTAAGTCTATTATTAGAGCAGTACAAATAATGAAGTAGACCATAATTCTACATTCTCTCTAACCTTTTACTCTGTTGATTGTCAGATTGAGCACCATACACACACTTAATTGTTTATGGACCCATTGGTTTAATCAAGCTATAAACTTGTTTGTTCATTTACTTCAGACCCCCATACTGTTCCTCACTATTTTATTATTATTCGAAAGATTTTTGCACCTCAACAACGAAGAAAAAGACCAAAGAAATCGGCTGGCTAGTCTCAGGTCATTATGAAGGTACTTCATTTTGAGTTTGACAGTCTCTCAGTTGATCCATCGTTCTTTTGAAAGCGTGGGAAAGATGCAACTGAAATTACATGTTGAGGTTATGAGTTCTAATTGTTGATAATTCAATAGGGAAGTTGATAGCCAGATGACAAGTAATCTGTTACGAGCTTGTGGACATCTTCGTAGTGCTCGTAAATACTCTGTTTCGGAAGAAAAAAAGGATGACATATAAGACGTGTAGTGGCATTGGACAATAGCCACACAATCCACAAAGCTGTGAACACGAGACTACTCAGAAAATAGATATTCAATATTTAACGCGGAGAAATACCTAACAATGGAGAAGGCGCGAACAATGAATTGAATGGACCGGAGTTGGTCGAGTGGCATGGCTCGGCCATGCAGGCGTGGTCTCTGCTGAATTTTACCTTATATCTTCTATTCATATTAAATATATTGTTCTTTCTCTAGCCTAATCTTGTTCTACATCATGTATTGGTAATTGATGCGATACAGTGAATTGGTGTAGTCGATGGTGTGACTTCCACGTAAGATCTTATAGATTAGGCAGTTATATCATGACAAATCTACAAATTTAGGATTAGGTCTATTACTAGAGCAATACTAATATCATAGTAGACTGTAATTCTACAGACGTAAACTTATCATCAAGTAATTAGAAAACTTTGATTAATTCAAATTCGGTTCTTCAGTGGGGCAAGAGAAATTGATCTTTTTTAGCCAGCCTGTCATCATACAGGTGCCTTTGCTTTCTGGGAATTAACTTTGTCCCGTTTCTTTGAGTCTTTTCCAACAGCTCGCTGTCTCTATTAGGGCAGGAGCTAGCCGCTTTTATGTAATATCCGGGTTTATGGAGAAGGAACACTGTATAAAAAGTCAAAAAGGTTCCAGCTTTGACATGGCTAAGGGGCTCCATGTATAGATCATATGGTTTTTAGACCTTTGGTGAGCAGTGGTTTTCGAGATTTGACTGATTATTAATCCTGTGTCATTGTGTGCCTGGATAACAGGCAGCTCAACATTACTCACTTTGTATGTATCTATACCTTGGTTGTCAGTGTGCATCAAAATACGCCTGCAAGTACTTATCGGTAACTGTCAAATTCTAAACGATTCAGATAACTCCTCCAGGTCATTTTGAAACCATTAATAACACCATTTTTTTTACCGCTCTCCATATATTGACATCTTCAGCATATAGCAAAATGGATGGTGATAGGAGACTGAGGGGGTCATTTGCACACAGGAGGAACAACACAGGCCCTACAGCCGTATTCTGAGGCATTTCTCTAAACACATTTTCACAGCCAGATAACTTGGAGTTAGCTCGTACTCTTTGTTGACGCCCAACTAGGAGATCGTTCATCCACCTCCAATCTCGATACCGCTTAAGTTAGATAACAGCTGGTTGTAGGGAACTTTGTTAAAAGCCTTGTTGAAGTAGTGGAAGCTATTTCCATGTGCAAATTTTAATACTTAAGAGCCCACCAATTTTCGTAGATTATTGACAATTTTGTGAGACATGGGTAACTTGTTCTAAAGCCATGCTGCTTTTCAGAGTGAATCCGGTTTTCGTCTAGGTACTCAAACAACTAATTCTGGATAATGTTACCTGAAATTTTGACAGCTACGCTGATTAGGCCAACGGGTCGTCAGTTCGCAGAATCGTATCTCCCACCTGTTTTGAAGATTGGACTCACTTTAGTATTCATCCAGCCTTTTTGTGATTGACTTTGGGTAGTGTTCAGACATAAACATGTTTTTAAGGTGTTTGTGATTAAATTTACCAGTACATTTCGTAAGGTAGGATGCATTTCATCGAGCTCCATGAATTTACCGATAAAAAGTTTGTTTAGCAGATAAAAGTGACCAAGTTTTTAACGGCTTCAGCGCTCAGAATGTTTGCGGGTAGGAATTTTATGAGCTGAAGAAGATGGGTTCTCTACGGTACATACACTGCTAAATTAGTATGAGAATATCTTATCTATACCGTAGGTGTCTTCAACTAATGACGTAGTAGGGATTGTTTTATCACAACAGATTAGTGAGGTTATAATCTTGATTCAACAGATCCGCATAACCATCTCAGTCCCGAGAGATCAAATAAGAGTGAGAAATAAATTACATCTTAATGTACAAGGAATTAGAATAGAACAAGAACGAAGTCGTGAAAACTCTTAATTAGAACAAGTAAATTGTGGAGTTTCCAACCATAAGAGATATTGGTGACCAACTCTTATGTGTCTGTCCAGAGTATATCTGATTTTCTACATCGATTCAGTAGGTGTTGAAAGGAACCGTTCTGGGTATTATTTCTCGATCACCGTATGGGTTATTGTAAAATGTACTTGCTTTCCAGATTTAGAGACAACGTGAAAAGAATCACAGATTGCTGCGACCAAGAAATTATTCATACTACCTAGACGCAGATTTAAAAAGATGATTAATTTTCTATTAGCTCAGAAATCTTGTAAAGTTTGAAGTCCAATATTAGGATAGATTTGACCTTGTGCGTTTTCCAAATCACTCGTCATGCTTGGTCCATCACCTCGTACCGTTGTTCGTGTAGGGTCGAGGCGCAGTAATTTGGCACTTCTCCAGACTGGAATGGCAGTTAATTTACTTCAAAAACAAAATCCACATGTTCTTTTTGAAGTTGTAGAAATGGCAACTGTCGGCGACAAAATTCTAGATGTTTCATTATCAAAGATTGGTGATAAAAGTTTATTCACAAAGGAACTTGAAAATGCCCTACTTAGTGGAGAAGTTGACCTTGTCGTACACTCACTTAAAGATGTCCCATCAATCCTTCCTTCCGGCTTAGTCCTTGGGTGTGTATTTGCCAGAGCATCTCCTGATGATGTTGTTTTAATGGCTCCACATTATCGTGGAAGAAAACTTTCTGATCTCCCTATCGGATCTACAATTGGAACAAGTGCTGTTCGGCGCGTAGCCACACTTACACGCAAGTATCCACATCTGAAGTTTGTATCCATACGTGGAAATTTAAACACAAGGCTTGCCAAACTCGATACTCCTCCAGCTCCCAAGGATAATTGCTGTTTAACTAATCCATCTCAAAGTTATGATGCGATCATCCTGGCTAAGGCGGGTGTTGAGAGGATGGGCTGGTCGCACCGTATTGATCAGGTCGGTCTTTGTATTGTTTTGAGTAATTGATATGTGGCCACCATTTGTTTAAAAATTGAGACGGCTATTAATTTCTTAACAATAATCACTTTTCCCATAAATTCGTAATGTAACAGTGTATGCCGTCTAACTCGGTATTCGTGAGACAATAAAGACCAAACTGCCCCCAAATACCCTGGTACGACCGAGGGTGGGGAGAGTTCACTCTCCCACCCGAAATCCTCTCACATGACCACTCGCATGCAGCCACTGCCAGGGAGGTTCTACTCACTGTCTTCTCGCGGCAGGGGTGTTCTTTACAAATTGGGTGGACGAAAAGCGAATATCATGCACGTTAACCGGGTTGGTGTACACAGGTTTCACCTAAAGGAGTTGGAAAGCCCTAATTCCAAACCAGTGGCGCACGTGTGCTCCAGTATCCTGATTAAAAAAATGGCGTATGGACTAATCGTTAGCCACCGGCTACCATGGGACTGCATCTTACGTTGCTCCAATACCTCTTGAATCAAACCTTCAAGTCGAAGGCTCCGGGTGTGGCCTCCTCAGAAAACCACCTGCTTCGGTTTTCGCATCCGGGCAGTATTATAGCTCACACACAAATTAAGTGACTTGTGTGTCGCATATGTATTCAGTGTCCCTTTGTACCTATATTTGTGTTGAAATAAATAAATATGGTTTCTTTTACTAAGCATCATCACAGTAGAATCCCTCAAATGACTTTTATTCCTAGAACAGTTAAGTACTTAGTGCTTAGATATCTTGAATTTGTGGTCATTTGCTCCATGTATTTATAACATTCAATTTGTCATGAACCAGTATTTTTTTTACCATTATGACTATATTCTGAGATAAATGTCTCTGCATATTAACACACGAAGTCTAGTATGTATACTGGTTTAGTATCAATTTACCTTGCTAAATTCATGTTAGGTTTAGATATCTGCTTGTATGAGTCGCCATTAAATGACTAAACTGCATTGAGTCGAATAAGTATTATCTTGATTTGTAGTTGATTTTCTAATATTGATCATGTATATGGATGACTGCAAAAGCATACTTCTGATCTAAATGGCATATTGTACGTATTGTTTAGGAAAATTAGTCTCACCGACAACATAATGAAAAGTCTCAGTTTACACTGATAGGTTTATTCAGTACCTTAGGGAAAAGATCCTTATCAATCAATTCGCATTGTCACAAATCGTATGAACTTGGCCTTGATGAAAACTTATAATCTGCGAAACATTAGAACATTTACGAACCTTAATGACGATAAACCTATCAGTGTAAACTAAGACTTTTTATTATGTTGTTCGTGGGACTAATTTTTTAAAAACAATATGTACAATACGCCGTATGGATCAGAAGTATGCTTTTGTAGTCAACCAAGTTTTACAATTATAGATGGGTTTTCAACACATTGAGTTTTAAGATAGTAACAGAAAGTTGTAAATATTCTGGCAACAAGGTTTTTTGATTCAGTTGTTCTGAACTGTTGATAAATTTATAAGGTTTCAACCCTTCAGCGGTTAAAGTAAAACTGGTATCAAGAATTTTCTTAATTGTCATAAGTCATTTTTTGTTTCCGGATGTTTTTACCTTCTGTAGGTTTTAACCGATTCTTTTTATGCTGTAAGTCAAGGTGCATTGGCTTGTGAATGTCGTCAAATCGATAATTTCATCATGAATTTGTTATCGGGCATCCATGACGAGTCAGCTGCCTTAACAACTATTGCTGAGCGCAGTTTAATGCGTCAACTTGATGGTGGTTGTTCTATCCCGATCGGCGTGCGCAGTGATCTTGTTTTAAAAGGAGACTTGAACTATTCTCAACTTACTCTTCATGCAAATATACTAAGTGTTGATGGTGGGAAGAGTGTAGAAAGATCTGCCTCTGTTGTTTTCCCGGATAAAGTGCCCATAAATGATTGTGTAGAGTCCAGTTGCAAATTAGTGCAAAAATCGAGCGGTTATGATGATGTTAGCACAAATACACCAATAATCGAAAGTAGGGGGACATCACTAACCTCTCCTAATAAAGTAAGTTGTTTATTCCTCTCGTTTGCAGAAATAAACTGTTCATCTTATTTATTTCAGTGTAAAAATTGAATATATATATATATATATATATATATATATATATATATATATATATAATATCTAGATGCTTATATTCTTGATATGACGCGTATAACTTGAGCACTAGAACAAATTAACATCAGGACCCAAACCAATATATGATGAATACATTGGTCTTGAGTGTTGTTAAAGGTATGATAGTAGTTATCACTCCCAGGTTACCCACACCGTGGAAGGGTTCTTCTGGCGGCACCTGAAAAGGAAATTTGGTTAGGGATGGCCTTAGTGACCACAGTACCCAAGGGACAACTGCTTGAGGTTGGCCGCGCACGACCCTTTAGTGATTAATTTTTGTGTTAGCTCCGTACTTATTGGAACCTTACCACCAGAGACGGAAATAGGTGGAATAAGGCGATATGTGCATTTTAGGCTCGACCTCTTCCAACCCCACACCATCCTTATGAGAAGGTAGTATCGCTGTTATGCTGGTTGTCTGAAAGAAATATCTTACTGTTGTTACACCTCTGTACAGTCAGCAGTACGATTTCACCTTTCGACCTTGGGTTTGCTTGTTTTAGTCTTACCGTTCTTCAACCAACCTGTATGGTATGGTAGGACCTTGAGGAACGATTGTCCAAACCAGTATAGCTCGATTGGTTCATCACGATAGACTAGCCCGACCACTGTGTCAAGGTAGCAGCAACGGTCGCGAATATGTGATAGGATTTATGCAAAATATATTCGCCGTCAGCTATTTGTAAACATGGGACAGTTTACTAAAGAACTAGAGCCAGTTATGTGTATTAGATCACTAGTTTGGTAGAGATGTTCAGCCTACTGAATCATTTATGTCTTTGTATCAACAAATTCTGATAAACTTTTTGTTAAGAATCTGCAAACGTCAATTACGACTTACGGGAAGGGAAACCAAATCTATATAAAAGGTAAATATATGGTTAACTTTCAGTACGTTCTCGTTACGTTACTGTATTCAGTTTTAATTCATTTTTACGGTGATTGTGTTTAGTGATAATAACTTAATTCATAAATCTTGATTGTTGAAACTAATATATAACCGATTTACCGTTCGCACATTTATGCAGGTCGGACAACAGATAGGGCTGGCTATGTCTTTGGAAAGTCTTAATATCGACGTGTGTTGTCTATCCGAGACCCGTATTCAAGACTCTGGCGAAGTACTACAAATTCGATCTCCATCTGTCGCTTCGAAAAGCTTGTTTTACGTGCGCTTATCCGGGGACCCTGTGGCATCTTCGTCTGGTCTTGCTGGCGTTGGTGTCGCACTAAGCGCTAGAGCTGAGGCAGCACTAGTCGATTGGATCCCCATTAACAGTCGGTTATGTGCTGTTAGATTAGAAAGTTCCATCAAAGTGAGAAGAAATCGGCGTGAGAAACGATGTCTTTTCGTCATCTCCGCCTATGCCCCGACAGATTGCAGCCCGGATGCAATCAAGGATGAGTTTTACCACCAGTTATCAGTTCTTCTCCAGAAAGTGCGTTCGACAGATATTGTAGTACTAGCCGGAGACTTGAATGCTCAGGTCGGGCGTCTAGGCACAGAAGAGAGTCGTTTAGGTGGCCGATGGGGACTCGTTGGTCGCAGGTCAGATAACGGGGACCGTCTACTGCAACTTTGCACAGACCACAACCTGTTTCTGGCTAGCACTAACTTTCGGCACAGTCATCGCCGATGTGCCACCTGGCGTCCTCCCTCTGCATCTCAAGCCTGGACTCAGATTGATCACATCGCGATCAGCTACCGCTGGCGTGGTTGTGTAAAAGACTGCCGCTCCTTTTGGAGTACCTATCTGGACTCTGACCATGCCTTGGTCTGCGCCAATCTTGCCTTACTTTTCAGTGGACAACGAAGTGAACGCCATCAACGGATTGATGTTAGCAAGCTGGTTGCAACTTCTGTTGCAAGTAAGTATCGAACCGAGCTAGCCTCTAGGCTAGCTACCACTCCACCGAAAAGTATAGATGAGCATTGGTTGCAATTGCATGACGCCATGAAAATGGCGGGAACAGTCAGTTGTGGGTTTGCGAAACGTCCCGCTTTTAAGCACTGGGTTTCTTCTGGTTCCTTACAACTCATTGAAGCCCGTCGGTCTACTCCGGGTGACCGTGAGTTTGACCATAAACGAAGGATGTTACGTAAGGAAATTGGGCAAAGCTTGCGTAAGGACCGAGAAGCCTGGTGGTCGATGCGTGCTAATGAGCTGGAAGCAGCAGCTGCATCTGGTAACTACCGGAAGCTCTTCCAGCTCATCCGAGCCACTGGCAGCAAGAAGTCTGGTGTGAGTGAAACAATCTGCGAGGATGATGGGATGCCAATCACTAACATCCATCGACGTCTTGGACGATGGGCAGAATTTTTCGAAGGGCAGTTCAACTGGCCTGCTGCTCCGGCAACATCGGTCAGACTGTCCTGCCCTCCATGGCCGGTGACGACTGATCCACCAAATGAGGAGGAAGTCCGCAAGGAACTCCAACTCTTGAAGCGTTACAAATCACCTGGCCCAGATGACTTACCTCCGGCTCTTTTTAAAGATGGTGGTGACTTTTTGACTAAGGAATTGACGACGTTGTTTACAAAGGTTTGGGAACTAGAGTGTGTACCAACGTCATGGAATGAGTCGATAGTTGTCCCTATCTTTAAAAAGGGTTCACGTCGTTCTTGTAACAACTATCGGGGGATAAGTTTACTTCCGATTGCGTCCAAGCTATTGGCTTCCGTCATTCTTCGTAGGTTGTTCAAAACCCGAGAAAGATTGACTCGCGAGGAGCAGGCTGGGTTTCGTTCTGGTCGAGGATGTATTGATCATATCTTCACCCTCCGCCAAATGTTAGAACACCGCCATACTTTTCAAAGGCCAACAATCGTAGTGTTTCTTGACATCAGGGCTGCCTTCGATTCGTTGGACAGGACTGTTCTCTGGGATTGTCTATTGAAGAAGGGTGTGCCTGAGAAGTTTATTAACATCCTAAAGGCGCCTTCGTGATGTTAGTCTGGCTGTAAAAGGTCGGATCTACAACGCGTCGGTGAGAGCAGTTTTGCTCTATGCTTGTGAAACCTGGCCTCTCCGAGTTGAGGACGTTAGACGACTCTCTGTGTTCGATCATCGCTGTCTCCGAAGGATTGCTGACATTCAGTGGCAACACCATGTCAGTAATGCAGAGGTTCGGCATCGTGTGTTCGGGCACAGAGATGATAACTCAATTGGTGTCACCATCTTGAAACACCGACTTCGGTGGCTTGGACATGTTCTCCGAATGTCGTCCCAGAGAATTCCACGTCGTGCATTATTTGCCGACTCTGGGACTGGTTGGAAGAGGCGGAGAGGTGGTCAGTGCATGACATGGTGTCGTGGCATGAAAGAAAGCTGCAAAGGACTGGCTTGTGTTGGTCCTTCACGACTCCCTGGTTGGGGTCCGAGAGATGGTGCTACACAGTGGCTAGAGACGTTATCAGATATGGCTCAGAATAGAAGCCAGTGGCGATCCTGCTGTAACCTTCTTTTACTTTCTTTCTAAAAAGTGGTTGTGTCTCCTTTACCTGAAAGATTTCTTCTGATTGTACCTTTTCGTTCCGTCGTTACTACCACACTACCTTACTCCAATCTCTTCGTCATTGTTCTCTTTTTCTTTTGCGTTCCCTAGTTTTTTTTTTCTCTTTCTATTTCTCTTCGAATTTTCATTGTTTTGTGTGGCGCATATATATTGGCGCTCTCTTGTACCAATATTTATGTGTTCAAATAAATAAATAAATAAATAAATTACCCAAGATCCATTTTCAATTCCATTGGAATTATTTTCAACGAGGCTTTCGTTACAAAAGCGGACTTCTGTCTGTAGTTCATGAGGCAAAAAAAGTGTGAAGGTGATTTCATTCACTGTAGTGAGGTCGGAGTTATGAATGAATTAATGGAGTACACGAAATTATCACTTTTACTATTCTTGATTATTTGATAATATAGATATAGATTGTGACCACGTGGTTTGAACTAGTAACTCAACATTTACAAGTTCTTTATGCCGTGAAGTTAGGTAAAACGGTTTTTAATTATTGCTAGAATTAACTCATATTGCTTACTGTTTTGTGTTCCTACTTTGTTACCAGGATGAGTTAAAAGCAGCATTGGATGCAGCATCTATATTTATGGGAGTTTTAGTTACTCCATCATCCGAAATTTCCCGTCTCAGAATGGCTATTGCTCAAAGTTTGGGTTGCGTAGTAGCACAAAGTCTTCTTCTATCCGGTGCTGATGAGATTCTTTATGAAATACGCTCCCAATCTAGTGGGTGAAGTAAATTCCAATCAATAGATATTAGTTTACTTCAAATGACAATCCTTGCATTGCGTTTTGGTTCTTTCATAATTTATGCTCTCATATTGTTTATCTTTTGGCTCTTCATAGAGAAGTAGATTTGTCATGTTTACATGTAAATTGTTTATTAATGTTGCCCCATAGATTGTAAATACTAACATTGTGAAAATAAACGTTTGCGATTAAAATAGATTTAGTTATTTGAATAATCTTAATATTTTAATTGTTCTGAACATATGTTTCTCATTTTGATGCTCTAAATTACTATTATATTATTAGGTGTTTAAAATGCTTCGATACAAATCCCGTCAAAGCATATTTTGCATTCCCAAATGCAAAGTCCTAAGTGGCGATTTGTTGATCATAGACTCTAATTTATCTGGGTTTTTTTTATCATTAATATATATCTGTAGCTTCCGTTGAAGAATTATCCGCGACTTAAGGTGATATGTTTTGTTATGTCACCCAAGTTTATCATCATATTCAACTTACTGATGAGTAGTAGTCATACTCATACGCTAAACCAAAAGTTGTACTTTCTGTGAAAGTTAACAAAATAACATTATTTTCCGGATGTAAAGTCGACGTTTTGTATTTTTTGTCAGGTTTTTTATACTACATCGATTTAAGCTTAGCAAACAGAACTTTTAGTTTCATTCAACTGTTCGATTATGCGGTTATTCCGTTTTCAAAATGACCCATAGGAACTGCAAATATGTTACCGATTGTAGGAGTTGAGTATAAAACAACTTAGTAGTATATTTAGAATTGTACTGGTTTATCTAGTTCATTGAATTCATGATCAATCTATGCCCTCTTTAAAACTCATATTCATAGTGGAACTGGTATTAAGTTGTCTTATTGGAGATCGAACTTCAAAGTTATATATCTTACTAAAAAATAGGTTTTTTTTCTTATTTTAGAAACATTGGTTCAGTTTAAAAGTAAGTTCTTGATTGTGGATATTTTAATATGTATGTAGAATGATGTATGGATAATTCTATGTCCTGTAAATTAAAAAAAATTGAAAATTGCTATCAAAATAAATTCGTTTTATTTTACTTCCAATATTTCACGTTAACTCCTGATCTGTTGTTATTGTCCCATCCTAAGTAAATGGCCAAATTTTATTTTGTTTACAGTTTTCGTTACTGTGATAAATAGTGTATTTCTACCTAATCATTCATTGGTCTTATTATAGAAAAAACAACATGTAGTATATGTCCAAACTAGTTCTGTAACCTATCTCGTAGGTGTTCAAGTGTGTGTTGTGATACGGGCAGCTCATTACAAGAGAAAGCTTACGAATTGTACGGAACATTAATTGATGGGTAGAAGCAAGGTATAATATGACTAAACCAAAAAGTGACATCATTCCGTAGTCACTGACTGTTCCGAGCCACGTTGGTAGACGGAGACTACTTAGTTGCCATCTACGCGGTAATCGTGGTCAATGGTTGAAGACTTTATATGGCTTAAGGTTGGTTGTGGTGGTATAGATGTATTCACTTTAAATCCAGTATTTCTTTTCTATTCTATATTTTCTTACCATATTCCCAATATTTAGTCTTTTTCATTAGGATAACTACAACATTATTCATGTTAATTTTTCCTTGTGCCATTATGGTATGCAAACTTAGGCCACCAAATATTTGTGCTAGGATTTACGCTGGTTATGAATGACTGATTGGATTAAAATTATTGTTAGACTCGACCAGTCACATAAAAAGCTTTCCAATATCTCTTATAATCATTACTAGCGTTTAGGTTTACTGTGTAACTGACAAATCACAAATTGTCTAAGTTGTTGGGAGTGATTGATGTAACCTATAAATTTCAACCACTTGGTTGATACTTTACTCATTGTTTGTTAATCGTGATGCAAACACACGGGCTGCTTCTATATTTTCATGCGAACAGTCGAAAAGTGTTCGATGACCTCTGGTGTGTTGTTTTTTCGAATAAATTATTTTGTCATGACTTCTCTATGATTTACTTATGTCATAAATCCGATTCTTAGTCACTATATAATCTAATGTTGTTGGCCTCCAGTTGTATGAAAATCCTATGACCATCACTATAGGTTTATTTAGTCCCACAGGTCACCTGAATCTAAACTTTGCTCCACTACAGTCCTATCTGCAGTTATTTATATTTTTGTTGTATAATTACTTGCAAGCCCTTGTTCGACACAAACTACTCTTGTGATTTACGTTTCCCAAGATATCGTTAATTTATTGCAGGCCTGTCACTTTGTTCTCTTCCACTTATGGCGTAGTTGTTCCCATGTGATAATTTCTTAATCCTATTGATATGTGATCAGGATTTTGCCCTATATGGTTGGTTTGAACTGTGTGATTAAAAGCTTTCTGTTTGCTGCGTTGTGCTCCATTCTGACTATCAGGCGAGCAAGGATGGGAGACGGGATTCTGGACCAGTAGTCATCTAGTGTTACTTTCGGTTGTTATCTCATACTTAGGGTGTCTCTAGTACCAGATAGACGATCTGGGCGATCTGGTCAATGCTATGGATTTATCTTAAGATCCAGTCTCACCATCCTCAAGTAAACTAAACAAGGAAATAGATTCATTCTCATCGACAAATCAGTATATATTACTTACGTGAGGTTATTAATATTGGGTTGCTGAAGGTAGCCGATAAGAAGCCGTGGATGACTTAAATTTCACCCAAGTTGGAACTTATTAGCCATGAATAATTGGAGACTTCAGGGAACTAATGTTTCTTGTAGGATTCGAGCCCGCATCACTTAACTCTACAGTTTTAGATGTTACTATTGAGTACTCAGGCCACAACTGACCACCCAATATATATATATATATATATATATATATATATATATATATATATATATATATATATATAGTTGGTTGAATAACTAGTGCTTGAACCTGCTCCCAGTTGTTTGATTGCTATAACACTAATTTCCCTCTCAATATCTGCATAGGTGACCCTATACAGACTGTCTATTGTTCTACGTAATTGATCAGAATGTTTCATACTTCACGTTTATATTGATTACTGTTATTATTATTATTAGTTGCTTTGTCGGTTGATCATCGACTTCGCAGAATATTTATTGCTAATATTCTTCTCTGTATGTAGAAATAATTTCAATGCATTCGGTCAAATTCTAATTAGACCTATATTGAGTTTTTTTATACTTAGTGTCTACCAAAACTTACATTCAGTTATATTGTGTGTTTTTGACCACATATTTATAAACAACATAGCTTAGTCACATATGGACCATCAAAAGTCCAAGAAAAAACGCAAAGCTTACTACCGAAAATGTGCTTTTGGTTCAAAAAAATCTCGTCTGAATGATCAAAACGATAGTGTGTCATGCATTCCGAAAAATTTACAGCCCGGGATGACCGGTTATATATTAACTTACAATCAACAGCAACGATTAGCACATATTGAAACTTATCGTTTGTTAAATCATACTTTAGATGAGATTTCTATTGAAAAGCATAAAAGTGGAGCATCTAAAATCAACAGTCCTGTAAATACAAATAATGAATTAGTTGGTTCTGAACCTAATAATATGGTTAGTGATGAAAAGAATGATGATACTGATGACTTATACTCACAGTTACTTCGTGAAAATTGTTCAAAATATCCTGCCAATTCAAAAAACAAATTTGGTTTCTACTCTGTGAAAACACATATCAGTAACTGTTCTTTTATTCTTCATCAGACTAATTTACTTAGTGCTGCAGAACTTTGTAATCGTGTATTCGAAAGACTACTTTCGACTTCCAATGCAGAGTCTCGTTATGTTCTTCGTTTGATGCCTGTTGTAAACACATGTCGGTCAGATTTGCCGTCACTCGAAAATTGTGTGCTAAAAGCGTGGTCAAACTTCCTTGGCCTAGCGTCATGTAAAATAAATACAAAATGTTCTAAAGTTGAGGTACCTCTAGACCAGTCAAATGATGAAGAAAACGCAAATAATGATAACGAGTCCTCGATTTTACATGTCCCAAAACAGATTGCTTGTGAATCTACATTGAATGGATCGAAGACGTTTATGATTGTGTTCAAATCTCGTGGTTTCAAAGCTATTACCCGTGATGATGCTATACGCCGTACATTTGAAGCAATCAAGTCAGTTGATTCATCTTGGAATTTATGCAATTCATCGCCTTCAGTTGTTGTCTCAATAACTGTCCTGTGTAAGGTGACTTGTATCAGTTTGTTGGAAAATTTCTTCAAATATCGTAAATACAATATAGCAGAAGTTTGCTCACCATCAACTCAATATGACTGTACGAATAGCATAAAAAATGACGAATCCAAATAAAATTTGTTTTGCAATGCACTTCTCTTTTCTGTTCTATCGAGTATTGGTGTTGATGCACGTTTTCTACGTTAAGATTTTATGAGTGATTTTTAACCTACTTCAAATCATTTACTATTCTTAGCAAGGTATTCGGGTTAGTCATATTATCTTTGTAGCAGTGGATCAATTATTATCCAATTAATCTTTTTCTAGGTTGATTTTAGGGAAACGATAGATATTTCTTTCCATGTGGTTACTTTTATTTGAATGGTTGGCGGGTTCACTAAATCCTGGATATCATACTGAAAGTAGTTTGGACTCATTGTGTGTTAATTTGGTCCCCGAATTTTTGTTGGGATACTGAATATTCTGTAGAGCTCTCTGAAGTTGAATATATGGTATATATGTTAAACTTAGTGAAAAACAGTACACCAGTTACGATCTCATTCATCTGAGTTTTTTTTTCTGATTCTCTTAACCAGGTCTGTAAATTTAAACTTCCAGTTTACTCTGCCTTACGCGTATTGATGCACATAGGACAACAAACCTTTCTGTCTGAGTGTCATGAAATTCCCGATATTAATGTATACCATATCCCTGTTACATTACCTAAGATCTACGTAAAGGACTCGGGACCTCTTCTTCATCTTTCAGTACACAAAGTACGTTTTATATGTATTTGTTCAATGACGGTTGTGTTGACTAGGCATGAGAGAAAACAGGATTTTTACTAACAATTCTTTATGTGTTGCTGTACCAGGAGAATCGTTCATTTAAAGACAGAAGTGGTGGCGAATTGACGCCGTTTTCATCTGCTGTGCTCAAACAAATTGGATTATATTTAACATCAGGCATCCTTGCTACCAATATACCAGTAACCTACTCAGTTAAATAAACTTTGACAACCGTGAACCATGTTAGGAATATGATGCACATTCAATTATATTAAGTAAGGGTGTCTACTGTAATGTTATAAGATATTCTGAAAGGCCTCAGAGTAATTATTGCTACTTAACAGACTCGAAGCCAACTGACTGTGAGAATGAACTGCATTGGACTAAAACACCACAGCAATAATAATCAATCAGATTATATGAATTTGTCAGGGATATTGTAACTAAATTTTTGTAGTGAAATAATTCCAACTTCATCACATACACAGTTGAGTAATTAAGATTCAGTAATTGAGATGTTTTCTCAATATCTTTTGAGAGATTCAGTATGATTGGGAAACGGACGAGTTCATCTACCAACTCCGGCTGTTACTCCTCTGGAGCGACTGCCGGGCCCAAGCCCGGGTGAAGGAGGAGGATCGGACATGGGACCAGTATCCTCATCCCGTAGAAAACAACCTTGCTAAAAAACGCTAATCACAACAAACAACTTAAACTCTGTCCTGGAAGTTGAAGGAGGGATTATGATGCATCATGGTGAAAGCCGAGACCCTACCGAAGTCACGAGGATGATGTCCCTTCTGACAATCACGGCAACAACTAATTTAAGTACATGGAATGTTCGGACTATGAGAGACCAAATGGCTGCAAAAATGAAGAAATACAACTTGGCAGTACTTGGAATCAGCAAAACCTATTGGACCAAATGCGGTAGGAAGAGGATAGATTCGGGAGATACTGCTGTACTTTGGTCACGAAGAAAATGTTCTGCACACTCAGGAGGAGGGAATCACATTAAATGTTATGCACCCACAAATGTTAGCAACAACAACGATAAAGATCAGTTTTACGAGAGGCTGCAATCAATCACAGCGAAATGCTAAAGAATGAACCTGAACATCTTGATGGGAGACCTAAACTCCAAAGTCGAAATGTGCAACACCGCGTATGGAAATGTTATAACTTGTAACCGTCGATTAGAGAGCAGTGACTTATCGATCGGATCAAGGACGCATAAAACACGTGCGAGCAGCCTAGAGTCCTGATTGGTCCTGCTTTCCGCCTAGACCAGCCGGTTAAGTCCAGAATACCAGTCTCAGCCTCTGTAATATGAATCATTTTATTCCAAACATACTGAGTTTATATACCAATCAGACAAACCACAACGTACCAATAAAATATGAAACAACATTTGTACAAGAATTAGCCAGATGTGGCTGTGAATGAGGGAGGTAGTGATCAATATACTGGGTATAACTCAAGAACGGTAAAACGTATAATAATAGTTTATAGGTGAAAATAAAGCTTATAATAAGAGGAATATGAATATGCATAGTTTAGTTACTTACTAATTATACAATAGAAATATACGTCTAGTATTGGTCCATCAATAGATTCCAAAAGTTACCATTCATTATTCTTCTCGGGACATAACAGAAAATATGCGACGACATGGACTGACTGAGTAAAAGGAACGAGAATGGTGAGACTTGCTGATTTATGTGCATTCAACAAAATAGTTATAGACGGCACTACATTCCCCCACAAACGAATTCACAATGCTATATGGGTCCCACCTAATCACACTACAGAGAATCAGATCAATCATATTTACATCACCAGAAAAGCCAAAGTCAGTGGAACGCGTGAGAACTTAGAGAGGTACTAACACTACTCCAGACCACCACCTGATAGTTGGCAAGATGGTACTGGTACTCGAAATAGTTCTCAGCAAGATGTTCCAAACCTTACAAGATCTACTAAGAGAAGAATAAACTATTATAGAGGACAAATGGAAAGGGATCAACGAAGCAATGTGAAGATAGGCCTAAAAAACCTATTTTGTAAATAGTGGCAGTAAAAATAAAGTAAATGTCGTTCGTGAGATACGTAGAAATTTACCATAAACGTTTAAACGACAAAACTGCGAGCCCGAAACAATCAACTCCGACTAAGAACCAGTCAACCATAATCTTAAATTCGGACAGATCCAAGAGTGCTATTCGTTGGTATGCACAAAATGTATTTCCTTGACACTAAACGCGGCTTTCAATTATTTTCATCATAAACTACTTATCTTTTCCAACCATTGTTATTACCTGAGTAGCATCAAACTATCACTCTAAATCGGATCAGTAGATGCATAATTTGTCGTATCAGATTGTCTCCTCTAATTAAACCGAGAAAGGTTCCGAAGTCAACTGCCCATACATCGGTAAACCTAGCAACAATGAACTACACCTAACTGATAGTTTATTGCCAAAGTGTACTTTGGTGATACAAATATTTTAGTCTTTTAACGAACAAAGTGGTTTGAAGATTAACTGAATCCAGCCTAGAATGTACTCACCAATGTTAGGACTAACAACTGAAACAGGCTCGCATGGTCCCTTGTATCGCATTCGGTTGTTGTGATTTGCTCGCATATGAACCACAGATTCACTGACCTGCTTTAGCGGACCTTCCACAGATTGTGGAAAAGATCTTGTGCGCAGGTTTTTTGTTTAAGCAATTTCGTCATTGTTCCTTTTGCGTACGGTCTAGCAATTCGGCACTGAGGGACCTTATCTGCTTTCCTCCCCAGGTTCTTTAACTTTGTAGCAGTAATAGAATTGACATTTGTTTTCAGGTCGTTGAAGTTTCTTGCTTGCACATGAGAATTAGCGGACTTTGGAGTAGAGCGTGGTTAGATGAGAACAAACGAACGGACTGTATTTGTAATTCACCACCAGAAGTCATTCAAATACAAAGGAATCATCTGTTTCTGAAATTTCAGTGGTTGAATTGCCTTCTTTGTCCTTGTCCAATCTCCCTGGTTTACTATATTTCCCTTCCAGTTTTTTCGTTGTGTCATATTTCCTTCTGTTGCGGCTTTTACGGTTGTCGTTCCTCTAGTGCTCTTTTACACTTGCTTGTTTGCTTCTGTTTATTCAGCTTGTGCCTTGAATTTCTCTGTTCTGGTTAAGCTGAATTTAATATCAATATTCCTGTTGTTATTTTATTTAATCCTGACCAGTGTTTTGATAAAGACAAATTCATTATGATGATCCTTCTTCCTACCAAGAACCTCCCAGCACGTTGAAGTCAGTGTGTGAAGATAGGTCCAATAAACCTATTTTGTAAATAGTTTTTGATGGCTTTTGCATTTGTTTATTTCCACAATCTGTACATTTATCACTAAACGATTATACTTGTTGTTTAAGCATGTGACCTTGACAACTAACTTCCTTCCGTTTTGAATTACACATAGCATGACATTGTTAACTGTGCATTAATAAATACACACATGCCTCGTTCTATCATGCCTGTGGATATAAAACTAAACTATCAATTATATTTATAGACTTGTGACATTCCTATTGCATTCTACGTCGAGAAAACTGGCTGGAGCCATATTTACCTCATTGAAATTATTAATTATCTATAATTGTGAATCTTTGGTACCAAGCACAACGGAACACGCAACAGCCAGCTGATTTAAGTAACGTCCATGAACCTTTATTTCGCGTTAATAATTTATAAGTTCCTTATTGTCATATTAACTTTTGGACGTAATAAATTTATTGCTATTCCTTTTTGGTTAATATACTGTTTGGTCCACCACAATTATCTGGTGAGCCTCGTGTTTATTCTAATTGTTATATTGTTTACCTTTTTACACGATCCACTGGTTTATTTTTCTCGTAATGTCCTCCCCCACCAAACTTATTGATATGGATTCGCCTCCGGTAACCACTATTGTCGAACTCTGCTGAAAATATTTTAAGTTCAGTTAATACTATCTCAAAATTCAGACTCCCAACTTATGGAGCTAATAACCCAAGAGTCTGGTTTGCCCAAATTGAAGCTTTATTCATGGCTCGAGGCATACAATCTCAGGCAACAAAGTATGCGCATATAGTCGGCGCACTTCCCATTGAGATTGCGGCTGGAGTTGGGGATTTAACCGACCACGTGCCAGAATCGGAACCATATGATGACATAAAGGCAGCAGTAATTCAACGCACTTCGGTCTCAGATGAGAAAAGACTGCAACAATTGTTAACGTCTTGTGACTTGGGAGACAAGAGACCCTCCCAACTTCTCCGACACATGAAACAACTTGCCGGTCCGTACAAACTGGACGAAGCCCTTCTAAAACAA